AACTCCGGTGAACCCAGCCTAATATTTTGGAAATTACACAAAATCTCAAATTGTTACCCAAGAACCACCCAATTATTCAGAAGCACCGTACTGAACTTGCTTCCTGGCCAACAATAATCTGTTGCTTAGAGTTACCGTACCTAAGGGTGGGTAGGGAGTTGAACAGCCACCCTAATGAATTCAGTTAATAGAATCGGATTATCCGAGGGGCTTGAATACAACACAAAATTAACTACAATTGTCCGATTGTAGGACGATACAAAGGTGAACCCGATTGTATAATGACAACACAATTCATTGCAGGAGCAAAACACACGCTCAAACGATACATCAGTTCTGAGTGGAAATTGAGAGCATGGCACATGCCAAAAGGATAATCCAATGGTGAGTATTTCAGCGAATATTGGCTCTCATCCATTATACGCAAATGGGATACGAACAAATAACTCACACTTTGGCTCGGGACGATTTAACCCGATAAAATTTTGTTAGGCTGCTTCTGTTGTATGTCTGTTAATTGGTAGTGGATTTGTTTGGAGTTGCGGCTCAGAGATGAGGGTCTGGGTTATGGAGAAGATCTAGTAAATAAGCTTGTCGCCTAGAAAATTCTGGTTTAGCTCTTCGTTATATAATGTATGCACGTTATACGTTACCATTTAAAAGGTCTACGATTCATTTTACGAGCAACGTGCAAGGCGCATCGCCAAATCATCACTTCTGAGGTTCCTGGTTTCAATTATTTACTAGAGACCATCACTAAACACCAAACAGCGTAGCAAGTGGGCAGTTCCAAACAGTAGAAGATCCTTGAGAGATTTAGATCTTTCAAGATCCCTTGACGAACGAACGGGTTCTTACGGTTGTCTGGGCATTACACCCGAAAGGAAATTTATTCTCAAATTATTTCCGCTACGATACAACTACGTCTTTTTGAGTGGTTTGTTTATACCAATTAACTGACCCAATAAACTGCTTCCGTTTTCTCTCCCGTAACAACTTACTGACTTGATGACCCAGATTATGTCAGTTGGGAGCATTCAAACAACCACTTGCCGACAACAAATCTCATACCTAAACCATCTTCTCTTCTTCACGAACCTATCCATTTAATACTCATTATAACCAAGGCCACATAACTGGTTTTCACAGTTTTCCTCACAAACCCCCTAATGTGAATGTGTTTCACATTTAGGAATTATGGGAGCCTCGCCCGGACTGGTCGTCTTCTTGGTAATCGTTCGGCATTCTTTCAGGTTGGTATCATAGTTTGAGCTTTAACTTTCATTGCTCTGAATTATCACTTGGATTTTCAGTGCATTCCCAACCAGAACTACGGATGCCGCCGAAGCAATGGTTAGTTTATGTTTATTTTCAGAAACCGAACTTATATAGCCACTACTACAGCCAAAGGTCATAATTACTTCTGACTAAATTATGTAATTTAACGACGGAGAGGTAGTGGAGTGGCAAGTGGCGCACTATCACACACGCATGGTCACAAGTTTTAATTTTTGAGTTTTATCCGCCTAGGCCAACCAGACCTTCCACCTCTCTGTTGTCGATTTTTTTGGTAACAGATCCGTCTGGGATTATGGAAGCACAGACTTGTCTATCGGTTGTCCACCGCAGTTCATTGTATTGGCCACATACGCATTCAAACCGCAACTACGATCCTGAGTGGGATCCGAATGCGAGGCGCATCCCACAGAATGCCAGAAACCTTATCCTTTTCATGGTTCAAATGCAGCGAATACTATAGAAAGATGCATTTCTGAACTGCGGGCAAAGCGATTGGAGGTATCGCTCACCTCCATCGGAAGGCACGGGGTCGATATCATTCCGAAATGATCTAACTTGTCATTTTCCTTGACCCAAATATGGGTATTGAACTCTTTCGGTTTACTTCTGTAGGAAGATATTAATAACTTGGAGATCGATCGAGCTCCTACACCAGATTCCAGATTTATTGCGACGGTTATTTCCCAACGGTACTGAGAAGCTTTGGGTGCAGGCGATCACTCCTCTAGAAGAGATGGGCCTCCTGCGTGGACTCCTTAACACATTCTTCAACATCAGAAAGTGGTCCACATGTATCTATTCGTTAGACTGAGATTCTTCCAATTGGTTTTATTTTAAACCAGTCCTTTAAGAATCCTTTTCAAAAAATAATGTGGCTTGTTTGTGAGATGATTGCCAACTGAGTAGAAGGGACTAATTAACTGGGAGGGTTCAATGGCGTAGGCATCCTCTTCTATGCTTTCATCGTAGGCGTAGGCAAAATCCTCGAGCTCCAAACTACTCTCCTTTCGATCAGTACACTGGAGTCCATTTTCACCTTGATCATCTATTCGTGATACTACAGTATCCCTACCATAACTGTTCCCTTCCCACGAACTGCCGAAAATGAAAAGGTTATAACGTGAATTACCTCGTCCTCTACCTCTGATCCACTTTATGGCCAGATCAGCTGGTAGTCTGGAGCTGTTTTTCGCCCTAACAAAGTCTTCTATGGAATTTTCCCATTAACAGTCACGCTTCATTCGCCTCAAGAATCAAGAAAGTACGGTAGCTTCCCAAACTGTCACATCGACCTGAAAACAAAAGGGATGTATAAGAGCGGCTCTCACCACTCACGTGCTTCTACGCCAAGTTTCGGCTCGATTCCAAACTCCATCTCTCCAAAAGAGGTTGAAAGTTCCCTGGTACAAATAGAAAAAAGCCTCCTAGCCACCGGTATTGCGATCTTGGATACAATTTGTGTTTGGGGCGCATTCTGGCGAGACTGACACTTCACTATTTATTACAAACTAGACGAGTTAACATCTAACGGAAGTGAACCCATAGATTTTTCAGACGACACTTTCCCTTCGCGAACTGCTTGCAACATATCAACGGCTGTACGAACGCCAATTTCATGAACCACTTCCCGATAGTCAGAAGTTACTGCTGAGCTCCTTACCGAAATTCGAGAAGCCCTCCATTGTCGGTCGTATTTGTGAGTGAATTTTCGTCTAAAAATGGTCAATAGTTTATGAGGAATCATGCCTTCTGATTTTCCTTTCAGCACCTGCCTCATCAGTCGATGAGCCGCGGTCATTCCGTCAGGATGAAGATTCGCAGAAGGAGCACGCGGAGCCGGCAGCCGTAAAGAACAACTCGACAAAGGAGCCAAAAGTAGGCTCACCCAGCACTACCGCGACCTCTGCCGTCAAAATAATCGATAGGATGGATTCCTCCGTGTCGGTAGTGGTCACGTCAACGTCTGATCCTCAGGTGGATGTCTCTACAAACCTTAGTCCAGCTACCACTGAGCCTCAGCATTCGTCCGAGACGAGCCATTCACCTGAGTCAAAGCAAGATCAAGCTGCTCCTAACAAAATGCAAAGCCTTCAAAAGAGCTTGGATGCGGCTGACAAGACACCAGAGAAGGAACAGCCTAACAAAGTTGCTCCTTCGGATGAATTAGGGATGAATATAGCGAAGAAGGTTGAGATGACACCGTTGGAAACGGTCAAAATCATGCCTAGCAGTGAAGGAGAACTGTCCAAAAACAAATCAACTCCATCTTCACTAAAACCAGATGTTCCATCATCTAAGAAGACACCCAAGCAGGCAATTCCACCTCCATCAGAGCCTAATGTCCCCCTGAGCGGAGAGGTGCCTAAACAAGCAATTTCACCTCCACCAACAACCGGTGCTCTATTGACCAGAGACGGATCCCAGCATGGAGCTGCACCTTCAGCAGTTCCACATTCACCATTGACCGGAATGGCACCGCTAATTCTTTCCGTAACTGAAGGTCCCATCCAAACTCCAAGGCTATTATCCGTTCCTGCTGTTTCAGTGGAAACTGAACAGCTGCCCAAATTGCAATCACCAAATGCAGCGCCAGCAGTAGGACCACCACCAAGACCACCTCCCGAATCGTTTTCCCAGGGGGCACAGATGCAGGCCGACGGCCCAAATTCGGCATCGAAAAATCCTGTTAGAGCTGGCATGTTGGCAACAAAAACCATCAATATGCCCACTGCAAGGACTGATCCTGATAGTACAAGAAGATTCGTCTCAACACAGCCCGCAACGAGACCAGCCGCAAGGTTGCAGTCAAGACCCCAGCAAGTCAGTTTAGAGGTGCAACTTTTTAATTGGAATTCCCGGTCTCTGCAGTTTCCCAAATAGGTAATAACTGTTTCAGGTGATGAACCACGTAGTCGTACCTCGAACTCCAACTTCCGGCCTACCACAACAGAATAGAAGGGGTAACGGCCAGTTTAGAACTAGACAACCGCAGAGACGTCAGCCGGTAAGGTACACCATGAAGGCCTTGATACATGGAAGGAATCATCTATACTTTACAGATGGCGGCACGAACACCGTTGCCAATTCGGCCGGCTCCAGAAGGAAACCTACCACCGCCACCTCCGCCACCACCATCTAGGAACGCTCAGCAACCGATCAATCTCATTGTCATTCAGGACGGACGAGTAATTGATCTGTCACCTCAACAACAACGAGATCTCAGCCTTGTA